TTAGCAAAAAATATTGGGCAAGAGTATAATGAATAAGTAGTACTGAAAAACTAGCTCCCCATTGCATCAAAATAAAGTAATATCCTTTTGAATTCCTGTTGTATTTATTTTCTTTAGCACTTGGCACTTAATGCAGCCACCTCATATTAATTTACACTCTTTCCATCCGACTAGATGGTAAACTCTCTGAGGGCAGGCCATTGAATGGAGCAGTGGGAGGACAAAGGGGAAGATTTCCATTGTTAGGGATGGCCTGAGGGAATCCTAGGGGAAGGTCAGGGTTTGCTTATTTTTTCCTTTAGGGTCAGGGCCCTGTAATTAATTACCACTTCCTAAGACAGTGGAATTTCAATGATCTTTCCTAGAGAGGAGGAGGAGGGTTTGTTTAACTCTGGGTTACCAGAAAGCATGGAAGGGACAGGGGCTTAGCTCACCTGGGCAGGAGCCATCAGGCTCTGTTTTTTGGGGTCCACCTCCTTGTTCTGCAGTGCTCTGTTCTTCCCCTTGTTCACTTTGGAAAACATCTTCAGGTTTGGGAATCAGGGACCCTGGAAGAAGACAGGTCTGATTTTATTAAAGAGACTAATGTGGCTCTGCAGTGATCAAAGGAAATAAGTATAGAGTGAGGGTAGGAGTCTTTGGGGGCCCCCGGCTGACTCCAGCTAGCAGAGAGAATGTCAGGGACAAAGATCATAGGTTCAGAGATTAGAACTGGAAGGGACCTTAAAGCCCTAATCCAGCGGTGGGGAATTTGTGGCCCTGAGGCCATGCATGGCCCTTTAGGTCCTCAAGTACAGCCCTTTGACTGAATTCAAATCGGATTTGTTCTGTTAAGTTTGGATTCAGTCAAAGGGCTGCACTTGAGGACCTAAAGGGCCATGTGTGGCCTTGAGGCCGCAGGTTCCCCACCCGTGTTCCAACATCATCATTTTGCTGATGAAGAAATCTGTCTGATGCCCAGAGGGGCCAAGTGACTTGGTCTCCCAGTTGGTAGGTTGCAAAGCCAGGCCTCAAACCCAGTTCTTCTGAGTTCCAATCCAGTGCCCTTTCCACTGGACCTGGAGTTCCAATCCAGCCAAGACTTTTAGTAGGACAGTATACAATGAATCTCAGTCTGGCCTGTCTGACCAGAACAGGCTCTAGATGACTAAACCACTGGTTTCAAGTAGTGAGAGTAAGGGGCCCTTTAGAGCTTAAGTAAAGCTTCAGGTAAGGGAGGGTTGTGGGGCTCCCCAGAATTGCTGGAGCCCAGAAGCTAAGGCAAACCACTGGGCAGAATGAAGATGTCAGATATTGTTCCCTGAACCACTCTTCACTCCCACTTCCAGTTGCTTCCCTTCCTCCCTCTGCCTTATCCTCATTGCCCCTGCTAGCCTTACCTGAGTATGCACCTGGGGGCCCTTCTCCCCCTGAAGGGGCTGTCTGCTCCTGGGCATCTTGAGGCCTGTCCCCTGGCTCAATTTGTGGGGCCATCTCTGGCTGACCTGCAGGGTATCCTGTCACAGGCAGATGAATGGACATCAATTCTGTCTCCCCCAACCCAAGTCCCTGCCGAGCCTTGCCTTGGTTTGGCAGGTCTATGAGCTGCATTAGTGAGCCCCTCCCCTTTCCTCCCCTCCCTTCCCGTCCCATCCCCTTCCCTCCCCTTTCCTCCATCAGGACAGGCCTAGAAGTGTTTACTCCTCTGTGGGGGAAGGGGACACAACATAAAGCAGTTATGTTGCAATACTGTAGAGTTCTGTGTATATCCATGCAAACATATGGTCCGGCACAGTGCTCGGCACACAGCAGGGGGCTAGTAATTGTATGGTGATTTTATGAGAAAGCCACTTCTCCAGAAAGAGGGTCCTTGGGAAGAACTGTCTGTGAGGTAAAAAGTTCCCTACCTAGCTCCCAAGTGTCCCTACCCTTTCACCTGGGCTCTTACTGCCATCTGACTGGCATGGACGTTTGGCATTCAGAGGGCTTCCCGGATCGCCCTGCCCTCAGGCCAACAGCATCACTCAGTTCCCAGAGTACTTGAGTTCCTCCCACACCTTCACAGACACTAACTGATCTCCGTGGAAATGTCAAAGGGAGTTCTTTCTGGGTTTTAGCTGGGGGAAACTGAGGCACAGAGCAAAAGGGATTCTGTGAGGATGGCTCATTAAGGTGTCCCTGGGACTGTGCTAGGATGATGCTCCTCCTTCTGGGCTGTTCTGGTGGCCTCTGCCCAGCTTCTCCCCCACCTCACCCCACCCCACCCCCAATTCCAGGGTGAGATGAGAGAGTGTGTGTGTGTGTGTG